AAGTGCTTCAAGTCCTCTTCATTTTCAGCAAGCAAGGTTTTGTCATCTGCATATAGCACGTTGTTAATAGGCCTTCCCTCCAATTCTCATGCCACATTCTTCTTCAAATAATCCAGCTTCTCTGATGATTTGCTCAGCATACAGATTGAATAAGTATGTTGAGAAGATACAACCTTGTACCACACTTATCTTGATTTTAAATCATGTAGTATTCCCTTGATCCGTTCACACAACTGCCTTTTGACCCAATGTGGTGACCCTTTACAGCAAGTTAATTAATATCACAAGTTTGACGTCATATAGAATAAAAATTTTCATCATAATATCATTTGAGCTAGAAATAATCTAGAAGTTTGGAAATGTAATATATATGTGTGTGTGTGTGTGTGTGTGTATTTGAATAGCTATTTGTTAAAAAAAATCCACCAGACAAGTATTTGATGTGAATAAATATAAAATTGCTTTGTTACTAAACTAAATCCAGTATCAGAGTGAAACCTGTACTTGAAATACATGTAAGAAAAAATACAGGTTGAAAATTAATATAACTATCCCTCCTAAGGAATTAGGAAATGTGAAGGAACACTTAACCCCAAAAAATAACAGTAGAGAAATAAATTTTAAATCAGTATAATGAAAAGCATTATATTGTACATTATACCAAATATTCAAAATCCCTTCTTTAAATAAGCCAGTGAGAGTGATTGATACTAGTGTAACTGACAAAATTTTAAAAAGAGGAGTCAAGGTTAGCTAATATAAGAAATGCAAACGTAATCTCTACAAATCCTAGAGAGGTTAAAGAGAAAATGGAAGAATGTGCACATGGCTTTCTTTTTTTTTTCCAATTGACAGAATGTAGGAAGAAATGCAATTTGAAAAAAAAATTGGGAAGAGAGGACAATCTATATAATCATATTATTCTCGTTAAAATATTTTAAAGGAAAATGGCAAGCCATCACATATGAATTTACAGTAAAGAAAAGGGTGGCTTCCCGTTGTTCATGGAACACGATGGGGCCGTGGGTTACTCCCTGGACCTCTCCTTGCAGGGTTCCACCAGTAGCTCCCAGGGAGAGAGATGAAGGGTTTTGCTTCTGTAAAGAAAGTCCAGATGGGATAGTCCGACTGTCCTGGAGGTTTGCTATGAATTGGAATTGACTGGGTTTATGTCTGGTTCTCATTATTACCAAGGATCTCTACCAAACACCTATTAGGAATATATGTAATGGTAGAAAGTTTCCATTAAAATTAAGACAAAGGTATCCAGCACTGATCCGTACAACACACACACACTCCCACACACACATACAAACACACACACACACTTCCAAAATGTGTGGGAAGTTTCCATGGTCTATGCTACAAACTCCTGGATTCAGACTCATTGTGACACGATATGGAGTGTCATCTTTCTCCTGTGAAGTGGTGGGGTGGTTTTGACTGCTGACCTTTCAGTAAACAGATGAACACTTACCCACTTTGCCACCAGGGCCCCTGCCGTGGTTGGGGAGGTGTACATATTGTGATTAGCTGCAAATGGAAAGGTTGATAGTTGGCAGTTAAAATGCACTGTGCAAAGAGGGCACACATATGTCATTGTACACAGGATCCCCAAAATTTAAGAGGAGGAAATGCTTACTAACTCATAGTATCCAGATATCAAAGTTAAACAAAGATAAAATAAAAACAAAATTACATTCATGTTTCTTATTAATATAGTTGTAATACTCTTTAAAAATACTAATCCAATTTGACTTTAAAAAGTAAAATCCAATAGCATGTAATATAATTATACATCATGACCACATTAGATTTATACTTTAAATGCGAGGATGATTTAACTAACAAAAAATCAGTTTATATAATACGCTTTTAGGAGAGTAAATGGGGGTGGGGTAGACAACACTTGATAATCTCAGAAAACACTGAAAAATCAACTCACAAAAACAAATACCTGTATGAAAGAGAATCCTAAACAGCCAAATTATCAGTAGATACAACTTCAATCTCATAAAAGACATTTGTGAGCACCCCCTCCCGAGCTAACATCTTACTTAATGGTGACAATCTCAAAACTAACCTTACTTAGATCAGAAACATGGATGCCTGTTCCACCACTCGATTTAGTGTCTCTCTGGAGGTCCTTGCCAGGATAATTAGGCAAAAAGAAAGAAAGGTAGAGGAGGAGCGAGAGGGACCGGGAAGGGGAGGGAAAAGGTACGGGGAGTGGGGAGAGAGAAATACAGAAGGAAAGAAGAGAAAGGGAAAATCAATTCAGAAACTAAAAAGGAAAGAAAGAAAGGCATCTAGGAAGTAAAAGAAATAAAACGGTCTCTGTTAACATACAGCATGATCCTCTGGGAAAACCTCAGAAGGTACAAATATTAGAACTAGTAAACAAATTCTTCCACGTTGCAGGACACGTGATCAATATACCAAAATATACTTTCAATTGATAGTCTGAGTTTGAAATTAATAAATCAATTCCATATTAATATCAAAATGAATCATTAATGTTGAAAACAAAGGCAGAAGTGTGAGTAAAAGGGGAGGCAGGGGAGGCCATGTGGAGGAAATACAGTGTCACAACACATATTCAACAGAGGACTTATTTCTAGAATATGTAAAGCATAAGAACAAATCAGTAAAGAAAGGACAGCCCATCAACAATTAAGAGCAAACTAAACAGACATTCTCAAATATATGTAAATAGTTACTTTTTGAAAAACATACAACTCTTCAGTCATTAAGAAAACTAAGTGAAAATTGCAGCGAGATGCTGCTACACAGTAAGTTTAGGATGGAAATGAAATTACCCAGACCTTTTGATGAAGTTGTGGACCAAAGGGACTCTCCTATTCCAAATGGAACATAGACCCGTCCTCTGAGCCAGTAACCCCATTGTCAGGAATGTCGAACACAAATAGATGTACATGTGTACATGGATGTTCAAGGCAGAATGATTCATAATCCAAAGTAGAAATAATTCACATTATGATGATACTGGAACAAATGGGTGAAATTTAAAATGTTCACCCAGTAGTGGGATACTATACACTAAAGAGATGAAGCTATAGTTGCAAACATTAAATGTATGAATCTTAGAAACTTGAATGAAACTATATATAAAAGAGTTTACCCTGTATGATCTCAGTTATATAAAAAGTAAGGCAACATAAAACCATAGGCTCTATATAAAATCTTGATACAGGCAAATATTTCTGTATACTTTACTGATATATACATATGTTCAATGAACATAAATGGCATAAACTAGGAATGCACAATCAATAGGCCATACAAAATTATGATGGACATGTACTACATATACATGCAGCAATTGCTTCAGATGAGTTGGATCTTTGAGGTAAGCCGGTGCTTTTAGAAAAACTCAGAATAAGCAACCAAGTAATCAAAGTCTACATCTGTGTGCTTGGTGTCGGTACCTGTGTGAAATACGAACATGTCACAGGTGTCTGTGGTGCTGGCCATGTGCTTTATGACCTTGGTAGTAATTACAAGGGCATGCTCTTTGTGATAATCTACTGCGCTATATACATTTGTACTTTCGTAAGTTCGGTGAGTGGTTTATATCTCACCAAAAAGCCAGAAAAAATAAAAGATGAAAAACAAAAATAAATGTGCCAGATATTCTCTATAGCTATCATAAGCAGAACGAAGGTCCAAGGACAGAGGGTTCCAGGAGGCACATCATTTATTTTACACCTTTGAAGGTAGACTCGAGAACTCAGTGAGTGCTTTCCTAAGACTATACACATCCATTACTTTTTCTTTACAAGTGAACCACTAGTCTTCTCAAATGATTCTCGGCTTCAGAGAAGAATTTTAACAGCCTCATTTTGAGTGATTTGCAATTTGTTAGTTGCCCAGCATTATGGGGATGATACCGGCCAAAGAGAAATAAACTAATTGCAATTTTCAGAATATAATGTTCAGACACATATTCATGTGCACAGACAAAACTGTCCACATAGCGTGTCATCTCATTTTGCATGTATTGTATTTGCCTGTCCTTGGCAAAGGAAGGTACGTGTCGTTCTACTCTGATGATGTGTAATTTTAAGCTTGATTCCCAAGCAGACAGAAAAGGCTACCAGCAAATGTTAAAAAAAAAAACCTCTTTTATTTTATAATAATAGTGGTTAGAAGTTCAATATTTCTGCTCAAACAGAGATGCGGGTAGGGATGTTTACAAAAGACTGCTCAGTGTTTGCCATTGCCTTTACACAAGACAACATTTATAAAACCTTTACAGCTCATGGCAGATGCTGGGTCTTCTCTTGGGGATTTGTGCTGTTTGGATATTGCCTTTCATTTGAACTTCAAACACCTTAAAAAAATAAAGGCTGTATTTTAATATCATTTGGAAATTAAAGCCCTTTTATTTGTGTAATTATAATATCTTTGATGGATTTACTTTTTAAAATGAATAAAAGCTAAAATTAATTAATGTCTGATAACCAAAGAGAAGTAAAGAGTGGGAAGCACGGGTTTTGAACACTTGTAGATTTAGTCTTCCTCCCTGAGAAGAAAATTAAATGTAAATACTGAATGTTAAAGGATTTTAAATATATGTAATGATAATGTCTACCTTTCTTTTGATAGCATAAGAATTACATTAATTTTTATCATGGGCTCCTGCGTAATTGGAAAAATATTTTTTGGACCTAGATCATGTTTATTTTGTATATCTGGTTTTTATTTTCTTAATTTATTTGCATAAAATGAGATCAATCGAACTTCAATGTAAGTGAAAATCCTTTTTTACTAAGAAAATTATGTTCATTAGTCTACAATAGCTGCATGTGTAATGATAGAGAATTCTAAAACTTCAATTTACAGGAAACACCTTTTTAACCAGCAAAATTGTTTTCCTTTGTCTATAATAGCTGCACATTTAATAATGTTATAGAATTTTTTAAAGAGAATACATAATATCTGCCTTTCTCTGACCTTCATTTATTTATTTGTTTATTAGGCTTGGATTCCTGCATCGTCCGGTGACTTCCACAATCTGGTGAGACTTTCTTTCTGTGTTACTATCTCTGTTACAAGTAGATGCTCTCGGACAGGCTCAGCACTTTGTCACTGTTCTTGGGAAGATAGTTCTCTTTTCATCTACTTCGTCCTTTTGCCTAATTTCTCTTTCTTAAAGATGAGTTTCAAGAAGTGACTAGAAAAAAAAATCCAACACAGTTTAAGTCATGTGTGAAAGTCATAAATCTAAACCTTCTTGAAAATTCTACTTCCTGGATCAGAAGAACATTGCAAGAAGGGGTAGTAGTTGTTCTTGGAAGAAATATAAACCATCATGAGAGGAATCTCAGATGTGAAAGAGGATTATGCAAGTAAGGGTTGGTTGAGAAAATGTAAATTTGAGGGGGATAAAAATAGACCAAATTCCGGAGCCAGATTAAAAACCACACAGAGGAGCTAAATATTATCACCATATTTTTAAAGTTAAAAAAAAAGTGATGGTAGTACAGATTATATATTATAAAGCTAGGAACATGCTGAACTCACTGTACTTTTCCACATGGAAACACAAAATACTCAACATTTAAGACATTGCCTGGCACACGCATTATAGGTATGGTTGTTTATTTTGAAAAACAAACAAACAAATAGTATTGTTTGATTGAAAAGATGACTGATGGTAAAAACGTGTAGTTTTATTAAAGTGTATATTTTTCCAAATAGCCACCATCATTGATTTTTCCTCAAATTAATATCATTTACATTCAAATCCATAGAATGAACTTATATGATAAAGTAAAATATGCAAGGTTAGAATTTTTAATGAAATTTTCTAAAGAAATATCTGATTGAGATTCTTTTTTCCATGTAATCTGGTAGTATCCAGCTTTCCACAGGTTCTAGAATCAACCTTTTGTGATACTCAATCAAGGTTAACAGCAACATTAGCTGTAAGAATTATGGAGGATGTCTTTGTCTTCCCCATTCTCCATCAATAGCTAGTGATGGCTTTGTTGAGTGGTGAGAGTTCAGTATGCCTTGTTGTTGCCCTTTACCCATTACTTCCAAGTGGTTCTCAACAATTTAGTGATCATATCATCACATTCCTCTATTCTATCAGGACTTTTCTCTCCATGCCTGCCATCACACAGTAGTGAAGCTGATAGTAGAATATTATACTTAAAAAATACTATTCAAGTCTTACTAACAAAGCAGTACATCAGCAGGGAGCCACCAGAAATCTAAGCTGTATTCCAGAAAGGTCTTGAATAAGGAATATGATGAAGGATATCAGGGGACTCTTAGCTGAAAGTAGAGACTATTAGAAGGATGTGTCCAGGTATTTCAATGACTACAAAAAGGTATATGACTAAAGTTCAAAAATGTTTGAGTGACATTGCCAGCCACGAGAATTGCAGAACACTTCATTGTGCTCATGTAGAAACACTAGGTAGACCAAAGGAGAGTCTTTTCAGTAAAACAGGGGATGCTGTATGGCTTACAATCCTGACAGGTTGGCATCAAGGTTGTAGGTGGCTCCTCACCAGATGCAGTTGATGGTGGGGAAATATCTGGGAAAGGGGTCTATGGAGAAAGTGGAATATGAAGAGAGCATGCCATCAGGAGTGGAGGAAGACACACAACCTGTCACATGCAGATGACATAAATTTGCTTGCCAGAAATGGAAAATATTTGAAATATTGAGGAAAATCTGCGTTATGGATTATACACCAATGTAAGGAAAGTGTCAATTGTAACAAATAAATGGAGAAAAGACAAAATGTGTCCAGGATTTCATTTTATTTGGATCCACAATCAGCGCCCCTAGAAGTAGCAGTTAAGAATTCAAATGATCTATTTAATACTGTGGGCAAATCTGCCGGACAGGAACCTGTTAGCATGAAAGGCAGATGTCACTTTGAGATGTCAGATACTCCTGACCTCAGCAATGGTATTTTCAATCACTTCATATGCAGTGAAAGTTGGATAATGAATAAGGCAAAGTGGTAAATAATGGATGCATTGAATTGTGGTTCTGTGAGAGAATAGTGAAAGTATTATGGGCTGGTAGAACAAGCACACATGTGTTGGAGGAAGTAGAGTCTGAATGCTCCTTAGAAATAAGAACATCCAGACTCCTCATACTTTGGGTAGTTGTTGTTGTTGTTAGGTGCCATTGAGTCAGTTCCTACCCATAGTGACCCGAGGCACCCCAGAATGAAAGTTCTCCCAGGCCTCTGATATCCTCCCAATCTTTCCCATACCAGCGCCCATGAATGACGTCACTGTGTCAATCCATCACAGTGAGGGGCTTCCTTCTTTGTGCTGCCCCTCCACTTTACCAAGAATGATGTCTTTCTCCAGTGTTTTCAATGCTCTGAAGAGGTCGTGTGCAGCAGAGTTACCAAATGCAGCAGCTCTTTTGATCTCTTTCTTGACTGCTGCTTCCTTGAGCACTGGTTGTGGATGCAAGCAAGACAACATCCTTGTGAATGTCAAACTTTTCTCCACTTATCACGATGTTACCTCTTGGTCCACATGTGAAGAGCTTGGTCGTAATGCTGGGACATAATCTCCACTGAAGACCACAATCCTGGACCTCTAAAAGCAGATGCTTCAAGGCCCCCTCACTTTCGGCAAGCAGCATCGTGCGGAGCATGTCGCAGGTTGTTAATAAACTTTCCTCCAGTTCTGATGCCACACACACCTTCAGATAAGCCAGCTTCTCTGATATTTGCTCACGATACAGAGCAAATAAGTATGGTGAGAAGATACAAGTGTTATGCACATCTTTTCTGATTTAAACAATGTCAGATTCCCTTGTTCTGTTCGCACAAATCCCTCTTGATCCATATATAAGTTCTGCATGAGCCCAGTAAAGTGTTTTGGAATTAACATACTTCTCAAAGTTATCCATATTTCATCAGAGTCCACACAGTCAAAAATGTCACGACATAGTCAATAAAACACAAGTAATCTTTCCGGTATTCTCTACTTTCATTCAAAATCCACCTGACATCAGCAATGATGTCTCTTGAGAATTATGAATCAGACCTAAACCTCTGGCAATGCCCTCTCAATAGACTGCTGAAGCTGTTGTCGGACGGTTTTCTCCAAAAAATGGCCTTGCGTATGATATCAATGATATTGTTGTACACATCGAGCATTCTGCTGATCACTTTTCTTTGGAATGGGCACAAATATGTATCTCTTCCAGTCAATGGTCAAGAAGCAGCTGTCTTCTAAATTTCTGGCATAGACAAGTGTGTGCTTCTAATGCTTTTAGATGGCAATTTTTAAAAACGAAATAGAATTGTAAGATTTAAGTAGTGTTAATATGTAAATCATGATTCTCAAATTAATATTATAAAATAAATGCATTAAAGTCGACTCGATTCCATAAGCTTTTGCATCTCAAATACCTTAGGCAAGAGAGACCAATCCCTGTGAAAGGACACCGTGCTTGGCAATTTAGAGGGTCAGCAAACAAGAGCCAGACCTGTTCCGACCTGAGTGAATGCAACGGCTGCACACAGGGGCTCACACACAGCAGCCAGTGGGGACGGTGCAGGACAGACCGGTGCTCCCTTCATTCTTAGAGGCAACATGACTCCGAGCCAACTGGCGGGCACCTAATAACAACAAGTAGTTTAAAATGACCAAGACTTCCTTGTGAAGTCTAAAACTCTTCATTCTAGCGATGTAAAGAGACGGTTTTTATAAGGGATTTTACCGTACCTTGGGAAGGGTTGTGAAATAGTGTCTCCTAAACATAGCAACGTCGCCTCAGAAGGATGAAGTACGTTCTCCATGTTTAGTCATCACTAGGAGCAACAGAAGCTGTGATATTCCTTTGTTTCTGTTAAAGATTTTTTAAAACTCGGATCCAGTTCTCGGGCATTTTTCATCTCAGGATGAGGGTTTGGCCCCTCTTCTTCCCAGAAGTTTCTGTCAATGAAAATCAATGTTTAAATATTTATACATAAAGAGAGTCTGATTTGGTAGGTTATTATAGATAGCAGAAATTTTGCCTCCTCATTCTCTTCACTCAAATAAAAATCACAAGGGCTCTTAAATTTCCCTCCAACATCTTTCTGTAGTCGCAGTAGTAGGATTTGGACATTGACACAATAATAGTATTTTTTTGACCTTTGATCTTAATTTAAGTTGCCAATGTGTTCTCATTTTGGATCAAGAAAAATTTCTGTGTTTTTAAAAGATGATGGCCTTTTAAATAATTAGAGCATTTGCCATCTTTATTTTATAAAATTGAGATATACTACAGCAACATCTATTCCCATGCTCTTCTGTGAGCTTTTTCTCCTGAATCTGATATCGAAAATGTATAATAGGAGCATCCAATGCAGCACTTTATCTTTCACTGTTTCTTTACCTAAGAACCTTGACTTGGGTTTGTTTGCACATTTCCTACCCAATCTTTTGCAAGCTTATTTCATGAGGTAGCTTTGGAGACCTTGTTTGGCTTGCTGTTGCTTATTTCACATGGGGCTCTCTGCTTGTTAGCTAGTCGATAAATGCTTTCAATTAATTATACTATATTTTAGATTTTAACTGCACCTGGAAATTACTGAAAATGTTTATAATTGTTTGCATCGAAACAATTATGATTTTTAAAAGAAAAAAGTAACATGAACATTAAGGGTGAGCAATAGCTTTGTCACCAGAATCAAATTCTGAATTATTGTGACAAGGTCTGAATAACCATACATTTAGACAACAATTTCAAACAAAAAGGAAATTGTAAGATTTAAGTAGTGTCAGCATATAAATAATAAAACCCAATTTAATATTAGAAAATAAATGCATTAAAATATTCATATCAATAAGCATATACCTCACAAGCCAAACAGAGAATTTATTATTTACTCTGCAAATAAATGTCACCAACAAAAATCTATTGTGATATTAAAAAAAAAACTGACATTGCTCACATAGAAGTCTAAATTGTTTACAGAAAATCTTATTGAAGCATTTTTCACTTATGTAAGATGTATTTAATGTTTATGAGTCAATGAATGT